ATTGGAGATATTAAAGGAACATTTTGTGCAAAGATGGACATGATAAAGGACAAAATAGTAGGGAACTCACAGAAGCAGAAGATATGAAGAAGAGGTGCCAAGAATACACAGAGGAATTATACCAGAAAGATCTGGAAGTCCCAGACAGATCCTGAAGCTGAGGCTCCAATGCTTTGGCCATCTCATGAGATGACTCCCTGGAAAAGATCCTAATTTTAGGAAAGTGTGAAGGCAAGAGGAGAAGGGGTCGACAGAGGACGAGATGGTTGGACCGTGTCATCGAAGCTACCAACATGAATTTGACCAAACCCCGGGAGGCAGTGGAAGACAGGAGAGCCTGGCGTGCTCTGGTCCATGGGGTCATGAATAGTCATACACAACTTAACAACTAAACAACAACAACAACAAACACCTCATGGGATTTGGAAACTATACTTCTATTAATGCAGTCTAAAATAGCAATTGCTTTTTTTTGTAGCCACATCACATTGTTGGCTCATGTTTACCTTGTGATCTACGACAATTCCAAGATCTTCCTTGCTTGTAGTTTGGCTGAGCCAGATATCCCCCATCTTGTAACTGTGCAATTTGTTTCTTTTTCCGAGGTGCAGTATTTTGCACTTACCCCTTTGAATTTCATTCTGTTGCCTTCAGCCCAGTGCGCCATCCTATCAAGCTTGTTTTGAATTTTGTTTCTGTCTTCTAGGGTATTAGCTATTCCGCCCAATTTGGTATAATCTGCAAATTTGAGAAGCATTCTCTGCATCCAAGTCATTAATAAAAATACTGAAGAGCACTGGGCCCAGGACTGAGCCTTGGGGTACCCATTTGTTACCTCCTCCCAGTGAGAGAAGGAACCGATTAATCATCACCCTATAGGATTCTGTAGCCAATTGTGTATCCACCTGACACTTGATCTATCCAGCCCACACCTAGTTAGCTTTCTAATCAGGATATCATGAGGCACTTTGTCAAAAGCTTTGCTGAAGTCAAGATATACAACATCTATAGCATCCCCTCTGTCTGTCAAGGAGGTGACCTGATCAAAATAGGAGATCAAATTACGGTAGTTTGGCAGGATTTGTTCTTGACAAATCCGTGTTGGCTTCTAGTTATTACTGCATTGTTTTCTACATGCTTGCACAATGTCTGCTTTACGATCTGTTCCAGAATTTTGCCTGGGATTGATGCCAGGCTGACTAGCCTGTAGTTCCCAGGTTCCTCTTTTTTGCCCTTTCTGAAGTTAGTGACAACATTAGCCCTCCTCCAATCCTCTGGCACCCCCATGTCCCATTGCTATCCCCATGATATCCCCCATTTCCCATGATATCAGGAAAATAATGGATAGCAGTTCTGAGAGTTCTTCAGCCGGCTCCTTCAGTACTCCCGGATGCAATTTATCCAGCCCTGGAGATTTGAACTCGTTCAAGGTGGTAAGGTATTCCTTGACTATTTGTTTATCAATCTCCAATGTACAATAGAAGATTATGATGGAAGGGAGAAAGGACTGTTCAGCTGACAAGTTGCTGCTAAAGAGAAATCTCATATTTTCCACTCTCCAGGTCCACCGAGACTTCCGACTTTGGCTCACTAGTTTGCCCAGTAACAAGTTTCCAGTGTCCATCCTCCAGAACGGGTCCAAGATTACCATTGAGCCCCCTCGAGGAGTAAAGGCTAATCTGCTGAAGTCATACACTAGCCTGAGCAATGACTTCTTGCTCTCTTGCAGCAAGGTAGGAGAGCCCTTGTTTCCCTTACCCTTCCCACCTTCAGGTAGCTCTCTGCCATTACCAAAGTCCTATGATTTACCATCATGTTTGGAATCGATGCAGGGAGGGGGTTAGCATTTTTTCGCTCCATTGCACCCCTTTATATTCTAACATGTATGCATTCCATCTTAACATTTTAACTTGTGGCACTAAGAACCATAAGCCCATTAGTCAACATTCTGTCTTATTTCCATACCTTGCAGGAAACTGAGTTCAAGTCCTTGCTTTTCTCCCTGTGCCTCTTCCATGCAAATGCCCTGGAAAGGAGGAAGTTTGGGCCACTGGGTTTCAACATACCTTACGAGTTCACGGATGGAGACCTGCGCATCTGCATCAGCCAGCTGAAGATGTTCCTGGATGAATATGAAGACATCCCCTACAAAGTAGGATTCTGGTTCCATGGAAGTGTGAAATAATTGTGTATGGGAATGTATGTACAGAAACGGAAAGGAAAACACTTCTGGCTTTCTTTTTATCATTAAACCTCAATGCGGCTCTGTTTCAAGAAGGGAGATAAAAAAATTTCTTGTAATATCACCTGTTATGACATCCATATTTGCTTCCTAATGAAAGCCCCATAAACCAAATAACTTCTTTATATTATTGTAGAAAAAGAAGTATGGTGATTTCTGAGGAACTACGGCTTTATGTTCTTTTTGCTAGCTTTAGAGCTTCCTCATGTTCTTCCATCTTGTCAATTTGCTTCCACTCCCCCGAACATCATTCTCCTCCTGCTTCCATGCAGGCACATGTGACCAGAAGCCTTTCAATTGTGTCTTCAGTTTCAACTGTTCAGACACTTACATTGGATTACATTTGAGCTGCTCCAAAATAATCTGTATTTCATGCAGGCCTGACTGGCTCCTGGAGTATTTATTTTAAGCCCTGGGTTCCTACAGTGCTCCTCAGTCCAGTTGCCAAAATTCAAAGCTTGTGAATCTTTATTCTTGTGCTCAGCTAGGTTCAGCCTTGATTCCCTGACAAAGAATCTAGTGCACCACTTTTCTGGGATGGGCCCGTCTGTTTATATGCTCACTGTCTTACTGACATGGCTGATATAGACAAAGGGGAAAATGTTAAGACTATAACCCTGTGATCTTCAGCAGAATGCTCCAGAGATCGGAGAATCCTATGGGCAGATCCTCATCCCCTAGGGTGCAATAAACATTCAGCCTGGAAGATGGAGATCTGACTTCCAGGATCCAAAGCTCTACAGTTCTCCAGACCAGAGCTTGGAATGTTGTATTTTAAACAGAACACGTTACAGTACTTGTTCCTTCTCAGCTGCCAGTTTGTCATTTTCATTACTCCATGCAAGTACAGTGGTGCCTCGCTAGACAATGATAATCCGTTCCACTGAAATCGCTGTTTATTTATTTATTTATTTATTTCATTTATCCCCCGCCTATCTAGTCAATTGTGACCACTCTAGGCGGCTTACAACATGCATTTAAAAAGAAACATATAACAAACCACATCACAAATAAGCGAAAATCATTGTCTAGCGAAAAGCATTTCCCTGTTGGAATACATTGAACCCTGTTTAATGCCTTCCAGTGGGGAAGAATCGCCATTGTCTAGCGACGATCAGCCATAGGAAAGCGCTTTGCAAACCGCCAATCAGCTGTTTAAATCGCTGTCTTGGGAAGCTTAGGTCCCGAAAACACCTGTTTTGCGAGCGCAGAGGAAGCTGTCAAAATCGTTGTCCAACGAAAATCGGTTTGCGAAGCAGAGACCAAACATTGTCCAGCAAAATTCCCCCATAGGAATCACTGTTTTGTGAATCGCTATAGCAATCACAAAAAGTCAATGTCTAGCGAAAAAACTGTCATGCGGGGTAACTGTCTAGCGAGGCACCACTGTAATGTGTTGCATCGAATGTTATGGTTCTTTCTCAGGCCCAATTCAAAGTGTCGGTTATTACCTATAAAGCCCTATACAGCTTGGATCTAAGCTACCTGAAAGACCGTATCTCCCCATATGAGCTTTCTCCTCACTTAAGATCATCAGAGGAGGTCCTCCTTTAGGTCTCACTGTCAGCACAGGCACACTTGATGGGGCCACAGGAGAGGGCCTCCTCAGTGGCTGCTCCCAGGTTACAGAATGCTCTCCCTTGGGAGGTTAGGTTGGCCTCCCTCCCTTCTATCCTTTGGCTCAACAGCTGTGGACCCACCTTTTCAGGCAGGCTTTTAACAATCGTGACAAGTCCCTGCATCCCATTTGGGTGTGTGTGTTGTTAAGATAGTTTTTAATGTTTTATATGTTTTAAACCACTAAATGTATTTTAATCAATTTTATAGATATGGAGAGCGAGCAAGCAATGCATTGCTTTGTTGCCACGATGCCAGAAGATAATGAGAACTACTCTCTGACACCCTGTAGTGATCAGTACTAACATTGTTCTTTGGAAATATACATAAAAAGGCAAAACAAAACAATACTTCCCTTGCCACTTAGGATTGATAAGAGAATGGCATTCAGCCCTGAAAATGCCTGTCAAAATACCTTAAAATGCATTTTAGAAGTAACCAGGCATTATGAATAACAGATTTTACCCATTACGTCTAAAATGTAACTTTGTAATTATTAGAGATGGGGGAATTCGTATATGAATAAGAATATCCCTGTACAGGTGGCATTAACGAGGGTCCAGCCCCATGGGGCCGGACGGTCCACTCACTGATCCGACACGGATGCCGTGACTCTACCAATGGCTCCGCACTGCGCGATCCAGTCACCACTCTTTGACCTTGCAGTGGAGTTTGTCCTCCCACCTCCTGCCAGGAGTGGCGAGCAGATCATGCGCTGCAGAGCCATTGGTAGAATCACACTGTCCGCATCCTCCAATTGGTGTGTGGACTCTCCAGCCCCATGGGGCTGGACCCTCGTTAATGCCACCTGTGCAGGGATATTCCTATACGAATATCCCTATCTCTAGTAATTATTCCTTACATTACGTGTTGACCACAAAATAATAGCCTTGGAACTGGTATGGTCTGTCCCCACTATTTGTAGTCAATGGGATGGAAACTCTTTTTTTAAGTCTCCAAGAAAAGAAAAGAAAAGAACCATCCCTTTTCAGTCTTCTGCCCTGCTGCCACAAGCCTGGCAAAGCGTAGGAAAAGAAGCCTTTGGTCCGTCTTTGTGGGCTCTGTAACTCACAGAGAAGTTGTTTTGTGCCTGGTCAGGAATAGTTGGCATCTTCCAGAAGTCAGTGTGAAGGTTTTGGCAGGAGCCTTGGCCGCAGATTAGCACACATGACTCTACTAGGCTTCCTCCCCTTTCTCCTCAGTTCCACTGCCCACAGCAAGGAAAGCAAGAACAACAGAGAGAAAAGGAGACGGTGATGGAAGAGTGGGGAAGGGAGGAACTGTGTGGGGTGACCACTCAGGGAGCCACCGTTACAGGTGAGCCACCCCTTGTATTTCTTCGTGGTCTCTGTAACTCTCACAGGAGTGAGTGACTATGTAGCTAGTTCACCAGGAGGAAGGATGCTTGTCATGGTAGAAGGGAGCCGGAACCCCTCGGGATTCCTACGCAGGCACAGAACAATCTATGTGTGAGAGCGTACAACAGATGAGCCATCGGAGAACCACAGATACTAGTGAGCAAAGTCTTCTTTCCCACCATGGGGTCAGGGGACAAGAAAGTGGGACTAGCACACTGCAAAAATGCTATCCTCTCACCCACAGGGAGTTCTACATGCAAGCCAAGGCCTTTTGTTTTTAACCAGCTGACAGCTTTGGCTTTTAATCTGCTCTTGCCTCTTTTAATGTCATTTTATGCTTTCCCTGAGCAGTTGGCTGCCTGGGTGAGAGTTTTTAAATGGATGGTTGCACCTTATTGCTTGGAATATGTTTTGGCGTTGCTTTTGGTTTTTGTATGGTATCTGTTCGATCCTTTTTAATGTTTGTATTCTCACAGTTGTTAACTTTATTACTATCTTTTAATGATGTACCGGTAAGTTGCCTTGGGTCCTTTTAAGGAGAAAGGCAGGGTAAAAATATTTTAAATATATAAATACATATATTTTAAGCAAAAAATGGGCCAAAGCCATAGTGCTTCCCCCCCCCCCCCCGGATCCTTTGCAGGTGCTAAAGTACACTGCTGGTGAGATTAATTATGGAGGCCGGGTGACAGATGACTGGGACAGACGCTGCATCATGAATATCTTAGAAGATTTCTACAAACCAGATGTTCTCGTTCCAGAGTATTGTTACTCAGAGTCTGGGATCTACAAGCAGATTAGTACCACTTATGACCTCAACGTAAGTTGGAGAGAAGAGTAGATTCATATGCTGTGGACTGTACAAGGCACAAGCCTGTCCATAGCTCTGGGCCATATGCATTTCTCTACCTAGTTTAAAAATCATAGTTTCAAATACTGTTCTGGATATTTGTAGCAAATTTTTAGCATCTCTCTTAAATGAGGCTGTTCTTGAAAACACAATGTTTAGTGTTATTATATGTTGCAACAACTTCCTAAATACAAATTTGGGACGCAACCTTTGATTCATGTCAACCACTTAAATAAATAATATGCTTTTAATCTGACTCTGCTTGGTCAATCAGTTGACTTCTTGACCAAGCAGAGGTGTGAGGACGCAACCTTTGATTCATAAGTTACCCACTTAAATAAATAATAAGCTTTTAATCTGACTCTGCTTGGTCAACCAGTTGACTTCTTGACCAAGCAGAGGTGTGGGCTGCTGATGAAACTATTTTGGTTTTCTTCTTTCTCTGTGGTTTTGGTATGTCAGGGGTGAGGTGGGGGGTCTGCCTTGTTCTACATGTTGATCTTTTCTTCCCCCTCCCACAGGGATACATCCAGTACATCAAGACCCTTCCCCTCAATGATATGCCTGAGATATTTGGATTGCATGACAATGCAAACATCACTTTTGCTCAGAATGAGACCTTTGCTCTGCTTGGGGCCATTATTCAACTTCAGCCAAAGACGTCAGCTGCAGGAGGCCGGAGCAGGGAAGAGGTTTGTAGGCTTGTTGTATGAATGGCATGCCGAAGTACTGCCAAGCCATCCAGAAATCTATTTTTAAAAGGCAGAGAAGATAATCCTGGGCACAAAACTCTCTTTCTTGGCAGTCCCTTTCTTTCATTTTAAAGTCCACAAGTTTCTCATCTTTATGGCCGAGATGGTGTAATTGGAAGGCATGTGAACAATGCTTATGGATGGCACAGTCAAAAAACAGAGTAGTATTGCGAGTGGGCAATGGTGGGGCTAGCATAGCTCTCGGTCATGGATTAAATGGTTCAGAACGAGTTCTGCAAAATAAAATAGCAATTCAGAAGTGCGTAAATTACATACTCAGTCAGGTTTCAGCTTTTCCCACTTACTTGTGTAGACTTTAGATTTCCTGGACTCAAAGTACTACTTTTTTCTGCTGAGTACACACAATCCTAGTTCTAGAATTCCTCTGTTGTGGAAAGATCCCTGCAAGTCCCAATAACAGGAATCTTGAGTTATGGCCCCTGGAGGGAGCAGAAACACCAGCGTCCTTGTGGATTACATGAGTCCCCAAAGCCCAACTGCAATCAAATTGTGTGTGCTAACCCAGCAGGAACTGACAACTTTCTGTCATGTAGTTTAAATAAGAAATGATTTTTATGGTGCTCTGCCTGTGAAGATCTTCTTTCCATCAATTTTCTAGATCGTGGAGGAGACCTCAAAAGACATCTTGGATAAGGTGCCTCAGCCTATTGATCTGCATGAAGTAATGCTGAAATATCCTGTGCTATATGAGGAATCAATGAACACTGTTCTGGCACAAGAAGTGATCAGGTATGACTCCAACCTTGGCCTGACTTCGTATAGGGCTGCACAGAGCACCCTCTTTCAGCAAAGCTCTAATTAAACACTGTAAAAGAGCACAAGCTAGGGAGACGAAGCAGAGCAGGCAGGTACGTTTAATGAGACAGGAACAGGCTTTGGGCAGGGGGTGGGGGTCGCGGTTAGCATTCAGAGTGAAGAGACATTTGTACTGCTTGCACAGTATATAAACCTTGCTATAATTTTGTCACAGAAGAATGGAGATGAGGATTATCCCAAGCCAAAGTGTTTTCTTACAACTTGGACCATACCCAAGATGACTGTTAACAAGCTGACACTTTCGATGGTGATCTGTGCTAAGATCATGATGCCTAACTCGTGTAAAGTGCCACTGAGCTGTAGTGAAAAACTGGTAGTCCAGAAGCTAGCTCATTACTAGAATTGTCAAAGTGCTCTTTTAAAAAAAAAATATTTTGGGATGAGGCCTTGATTGAAAACTTGACTGAAAAAAGCCACTCATCAAAAATGTTCTTTGTCGTGGTCTTTCTGAAATCAGATATGTGAGTGCTCCACGCCTGTGGAGTGAATCTCGAAACTTTCCAGAGCCTGCCTATTTATTTATTTGTTTGTTTGTTTGTTTGTTTGTTTGTTTATACATACATATATACCCCGCCCATATGGCTGCTAAGACCACTCTATGAAAAAGTGTTAGTGCGCTTGCTCTCCCATCCTTCTAGACGTGCTCAGTTCTTGTTGAGGCAAGGCTTTCAGAGTCCTTTCTGTTAGTAACAGAATTGATATTTCAATCTTGATATTGAATGCCTAACCACACTGCCCAGCAGATTTGTCAATTAGCCGTGGCAACTTCGGCAATTGCTCTTCTAATGAGCCTCTTCAGATCCGGGGGAAGTGAAACCAACTCGGAGGATATACCAGGGGCCTCCTACCCGCTCTCCTCAGACTGAAGAAGCTGCTTGGATGAGTAGCAAAATGTTTCAACCTAACAAGAAAGAAGTCCAGTTGCCATGATTCAACTTCCAGATAGCCCTACCTCCATTACTGAGAATCTTCACAGATAAATTGCTCTTCTATGCTCTTCTATACTGAATGGGATTTTGGATCTTCAGTTTATCTAGTGATTGTAGCTGTTTGTAATCTCAAAGGAGTTTATAGAGAACCGTCAGAGTCATACGATTGAATGAGTTTGCTTTATTGACTAGAACTCTCACCTTGGTTTTATGCAGATACAATCGCCTGTTGAAAGTGATTGCACAAAGTTTGAAAGATCTGTTGAAAGCTCTTAAAGGCCTGGTGGTGATGTCATCCCAGCTGGAACTGATGTCCAACAGCTTATACAACAACATTGTGCCGGAGATGTGGAACAGTAAGGTACTCTTCAATGCCAAGCTATGCTTTCATAATTGACGTGTCAATTCATCTTACATGAGTGAGACATACGAAGTATATATCTACTTCGGCTGGCTGCTGTGACAGATCAGCCTTTTCAGAATCAAGGCCAGCTTCACAAATTCACAGGGTAAACCATGTGAGTACCTCTTGTTGGATGTACTGCAACTTCACAGGCAGTAGTTGCAGGGAGGGAAGGGTTAAATCAGATAGCTAATAGAAACTCTAGCTCAGGGACTCTGTGGCGCATAAAGCTCCTCTCTGCTCCTTTGTCTTCTCCACTTCTCTTTTCCTGTTTTGAAGCTAGCAAGAAACTCCGTATGTCAGCTCCTTCAGGTTGTTCCCTTCACAAAGACACCTCAGCAGAAGGACAAGTGAATTCTCTTGAACTTGACCCTAAATGAATTTCTATACATTTGAGCTAGTTGTGAATCATTAAACTAAACCGTGCTTTTAATTTTAAGGAAAGACTAAGGACTCTTACTTTTTTTCTTTTTGCTTCAGCTATTTGACCAGCCATATGGGGTAGCTGGCCAGAAGTGTTTCCAAATAATGCTCCAACCTAAACCCCATTATCTTTCATATTTCTTGCTTCAGTTTTGGAAATCTGGTGCAACAGATTATGAACTAGCCACTCATATTTTACTTTTACATTGGAAATTCTCACCATCAGCCCAGCTCTTTAGATTACTTATAGGCTCTTGACAAGCCTTGCTTACAGGCCAACCTACCCAAAGTGTGTCCTTTCCCACAGGCATACCCGTCCCTGAAGCCGTTGGCCTCCTGGGTGAATGATCTGCTGCTGCGTATCGAGTTCTTGCAGAAGTGGATTGCTAACGGGATCCCACCTGTGTTCTGGATAAGTGGGTTCTTCTTCCCCCAGGCCTTTTTAACAGGGACGCTACAGAATTTTGCCAGAAAGTCTGTCATTTCTATAGACACCATTTCTTTTGACTTTAAGGTGAGTGAATTAGGCTGTATAGAAAGGTGAGCAGTTCACATTATTTATCCGCTTCATCAGTAAAACCCAACACTGTTCCTGTTACAACTACACAGCTGCAGGCATCTAACACTCCATCCATTTGATTTATTACCTAGTAACCATTCTAGCAGGATCTTTGCAGGCATGCTTATTTTTGTAAACTGTTCCAAATCGGCAGATTTCTCTTGGTTTCGCGAATACACAGATTTCTCCTGGTTTCCAATTATGCAGTATCTTTGTTTTCCACCTTCTAATTTTAGGTAATAAGGCAGTCTGTTCATGAACTGACTCAACGCCCGTCTCAGGGATGTTACATCCACGGCCTATTCCTGGAAGGGGCTCGTTGGGATCCCCTTTTCTTTCAGCTCACAGAGTCACGGCCTAAGGAACTGTACACAGAGATGGCCGTCCTCTGGTTAGTTCCCGTGCCCCAACGCAAGCCTCCAACCACAGGCATCTATCTCTGCCCCATCTACAAGACGCTGACTCGTGCAGGTAAGCATGTCTTTCAGCTAACTTTTTGAAGAGGACGATTGGGTGAAATGCTTTCAGTGAGTTCCCCAGGAGGGCCAGAAACAAGAGTTAACTTGCCAAATCACCAGTGATTCAGTGGGCTTGCTCTAGTGCAGCGTCCTGCACTAAGCAACAAGATTTCAGCCATAAGAATGTATGAAGATGTACTTCTACATGTTCAAGACAATGCATTCTACTTTCTCCAGAGTCTGCAACCTTGTACATGCAGCTCATATTAAACCATTTCACATTTTATATGAATTATGTGCCTTCAGAAATCACTTCCACCCCATTCCACCTCTTCTCTCTTCAGACATTTCACTGTAAGGCACCAGATAACAATAGTTATTTTTGGAGCTCTCAAATCCCAAGATGTTGTGTTCTGCTGCTCCTGCTGCTGCTTGCTTTGCGGTCAGCACCTCCTTTTTTGTGTGTAGGGTACAAATACAGCACCACATATGCCTCCCAAAATCATTAGGCACCTAGTGAACGGCCCGGTACAAAACAGGACAGTGGGAAAATGGTCTTCACTTTATCAACTTAAGTAATAATGTCACTGCAGAAAAATGAGGTAGGATCAAATTCTCTCACTCACACACATAATGAGTTATTTTCACCTGGTTTGAAGAAGTTACAAAACATTTTAACCGCAGCTAGGGACGTGAGCATCCCTATTGCAGTCAGCATTGTTATGCCAGTAACAGCATTTTTTCACAAATAATTCCTGTCCCAACCATAATGTTTGTAGTTAATTGGCAAACTATTTTGATTTACTTATGGATCCTCTGAAAGGTACTTTGAATTTTTTTGCAAAAAAAAAGAAAGAAAGAAAACAATGTTGCCTTTCTGAATTGCGACACAAGATCTGGTAAGAAGCCATGTTTTAGCTGCAGCCATACCAGTCTCTGATCGCATACTGTTCTCATCTGTCTGTCTTAGGGACGCTGTCAACAACTGGTCATTCTACTAACTATGTGATTGCTGTAGAAATCCCCACCACTAAGCCCCAGAGGCACTGGATTAAACGGGGTGTTGCCTTGATCTGCGCCTTGGACTTTTAAGCACTGAAAGCAGTGCTTGAGCAGTTTGACATTTCTGAGGAGAATGGAATTGTTCTGCAGTTTTACAACCTGTTTGATAAAGCCTCATCTGAAGAAGCAGACCGCTGAATGGGATGGTACTTAAACAAAATATTGCAAGAGAAATTTAAGCCTCCCTTCTTCTAACTGTAAACCTTACATAGCAGTTTAATAAAATTAAATCAACCTTTAGTTTCACATATTTCATAGTGGTGTGGTTAATGGGCACAATCTTAAAATTGCCATCTTAAGGAGTGCACAGGGATATCAATAAGATACTGAAGCACTAACTATGAATAACAGTCTGAAAGGTAACCCTTACAATACGGTGGGCAACATCCATAGATCTGGGGCCTACAAAAACCAACACCTGGAGGCAGGAATGCTGCACGTATTCTTTTCCGGAAAAAGCCCCCTTGGGTCTCATTAAAAACCTGTGGGGCTGGTAAACAAACCAGCAGTTCAGGCCCATCTCTGCTTAAAACTACTACTGTCATTAACTACTCTTCAGGAGAGATGCACACATATGATAAGGAAGAGAACAAGGCCTTCTGTAGATCCCCAAGTAGGGGGCAAAAGCAAGCATAGCCCAGCACTGACCTATATACAGTCTCCCAAGAACCATCAACAGTAATCCTAGATATTGCAGTAATGCAGACTTAAAGGTCAAGAAGGGTATCTGGCATCCTTTCCAATCCAGTATAACAAAGTTTGCAAGCCAAGCATTGTCTGTTTTTTTTTTTTGTTTTGTTTTGTTTTTGAGATTGCCTTTTCATACTGCAGCCAAAGGGTTAGCCAGAAACAGATCTCCTTGCCAGGAACCTAAACTATAATGCAGGTGTTCTGTATATCATTTTCAGCATTCCAGTTTCAATCAATCAGAGCAGTCATTGGAGGCAAGAAGTATACATTTTTATTTTTAAAAAAACAAAATTGGTATTTACAGCACTTGAAATTGATGAAGCAAAAGACAGATGATTCTGTCCATAGATACAAAAAGCCGTCTGTACATATTTGCAGAGAAAGCAAATGCTGTTCTGCATTCAGCGCCATGATTATCCTCTCAGAAACCACTGCCCTTACACTCCACAGCTGTTGTCTCTATTTGGAAACCTCTAACTGAACTCAAAAAGAAAGTGTGATGGAACAAAATCTTCCAAAAACAGCAATGCCCTGTGACTGCCGGCTAGCAGGATTCAGAAAAGATGTGGGAATTTTTCACAGACCCACACAAACCACTATTCTGTACAGAATACAGATTGAATTTTTTAAAAAAATAACAAAACTGAACATGACTTGCAGCATAAATCTAAAATGTGCTCTTAGATCTCAAAAATTATTACTTTGATATAGGTCAAGGGGAAAACTGCAACCCGCTTGAAAAGTAAACCCCAACTCTCAGAAGTCTCCAGAAGCAGACACACCCCTGCTCTTTGGTGGGAGCAATTTTTGGTAGATGAGGTGTAAGGGTTGCCAAACCAGCCTTGGGAGCTACATGTGGCCCAAGGACCACACTGGGCTCACCCCAATGTAGAAGCAAGCCGGGGAATATGTGGCTCTCCATACGTTGATGGGACTGCAACCCTTTCCAGACACAAATGCTTGGATCTGACCATCAACCACAATGTCCACTATCACAGGCTACAAAGCGGCAGCACCCTGCCAGCCTCCACCAGGCGCTGCTTCCAAGTAGGCGCCTGCCAGAGGGTGCCGGGTGCCAAGCCATGGATCAACTATTCAGCCAATTAACATACTGCTGAACCAGCAATTCATTCCCATCTGTAGTAACAAAATACTGTAAACCAGCATATGTAAGGGAAAGGAGACAGCCATGACAGCTAAAGAACTTCCCCACTGGCAAGCCAAATAATCTCTCACATTGCAGCAGAAAACTGCCTGTGAGAGACAAAGGAGACAAATTGGGAGACTGAGGTTGGCTGTAAGCGGGCAATAGCGGTTCATGGCTGCTGCAGAACCCAGCAGTTGGTAAGGTAGCATCCACAAAGTGATGCTCCAGCTGCCCCAACCTCAGAATACCACTCTGACAGTGATGATGTGTCCCTTTCCCCTTGGCCATTTCTGAACAATGATGGCAAAATACTGCCTTCAGATTTCTCACCAGCCACATTTTGCTCTCCAAGGACTCAAATGCAAACCTGCTTTTCTGAATTATCAACCTGCAGTCTCTTAATGAAAGAAGAATGTTCTGGGACTGCAGGTGAACATTAAAGAAACAAAAAACATGACTACGGAAGAACTACATCAGTTTAATGTTGACAATGAAGAAAAACTGAAATTGTGAAAAGATTTTGTATACCTGTTCAGTCATCAGTCCAAATGGAGACAGCAGCCAAGAAGTCTGAGACTCAGAAGGGCAGCTGTGAAGGAGCTAGAAAGGATCGTTAAATTTAAGAACATGTCCCTGGAGACCAAGGCAAGATCATCCATACTGCTGTGTTTAAAATTACAGGAAAGAAAAATGTCAGGAAAAAAGTTGATGACTTCAAAATATGGTGCCAAAGGAGAGCTTTGCAGGTATCACAGACTGCTAGAAAAATGAACAATTTGGCCCTAGATCACATGAAGCCTGAATTATTAAACTGAGGTGATGTACTTTGTGCACATTATGAGAAGACAGGGCTTGTTGGAAAAGACAATAGTACTAGAAAAAGCTCAAGGCAGTAGGAAAAGAGGGAAACCAAAATGTGAAATGGTTTGACTCCACAGAGGAAGACACAGTCTTGACTTTTCAGGAGCTGAGCAGAACTGTTAATGATAGGGCATTTTGGAGGTCACTCATTCCTAGGGCTGCCATCAGTCAGAGGCAATTCGACAGCACAAAACAACGACAAATCTCTTGGTACCAGTGTCCTAATGCATGACTACTTGGAAAGTTTGCTTCAGTTTTAAGAAGCAAAGTAAAGGACTAGTTACTGGCAACAGATGAACAGCTGCTTCCTCATGGCTTCTTCCCACCTTTCTCCTAAAATATACAGATGAAGGAATTACATGGATAGACCACTACCATGATCCCTATCCACCTAAATTAACCCTCCATCCCAATACATTTTTCCAAATGTTGTTCTAATGATTTTATACAAGCGGATGGGGCAGAATACAGCAAACGCCACTGTGTGACTTCTAGCGCTATACAGGGCATCAGATGATATCCACTTGTCTCAGATTGTTTAACTTCATAAAAAAGACATTTTATTCAACAGAATTTGAACAAGAGCAAGCAACTTTCTGAGGCTAGAGCTTTTGAGCTCCAACATCAAATCTGAAAAATTATCTCAAATGAATTCCTTGCTCAGGTTACTTTGTGCGCATGGTTTCCACATATATACCAGAAAGCAGCACTTGTAATACAAGGTCTATAAAATGTGTGTGCAACACTCCCACCACAAGGTCATACTTTGGTTGTAATGGAAACTCCTCTCTGCTAGCACAGCACTTAAAGAAAAAGAAACTATCGGCAGAAAAGTCAAGACAATTGATAGCCGGACCTGATGAACACTTGCTAAGGAGTCCAACTCAGAACTGGACAGGATCCCTTCACACACAGACAACAGCAGGAGCCCCTTGTACTCTCTTATTGTGATACTAGAGCTTGGGATAGGGAGAGACCATTTAATACAAAAGCAGACCTTACAAAGTCAAAAGCATCGGGAAGGAAATGTACAGATTTCTACTCTCTGGGAAAACTGCACTCAATACTACATCATCTCCAGCTATGCCTTCTAGAGGATAGAAGCAATTTGGCTTATCCATTTTTAAGGAGTCTTCACAGAAAGTCTCTGAAGAATGCCAATGGCTACTGCAAGGTATATTGCAGAAGGATCAAGGACACCGAACAGTAGACTTAGGAATGGTGCCAGTAGGTATCACAAGTGGTCCTGCTCCTTATACTAGAGGCCCAGGGTGGAGGTGTGGGCAGAATATGTTGGAACATAAAACATCTAAAGACCAGTTGAACGCAGGAGGATTTACATGTAACCTTATACTAACACTGATGATTTGAATAGAGAATTTCAGTATAACGCCTCCCTCCTGAGCACTGCCCCGGCAGGGACGTTTCTGAAATCTGAATATTGGAGTGGCAAGCAAAGAACAGAGAACTGTCCAACTGACGCTATTGTCGCTTGGCTTTGTAAGGCCGGGAACGTTTCCGTCGGTCAGGTTTCCGCTGCTTGTGGAGACGCCCAATGCTGACCCCTTGTCGTCTACGCACAGAGATGTTCTGCTCCACAAGGCTAGCCAACATGCCTGCCAAGGGAAAACAAAAAAGAGGTTTGCAAGGTTGGCCAAAGATAAATACATGTTATATTCCAATGCTCTGTCTTCCCCTTTCAGCTATTCCAAAACACAGATTAGCCTGTGAGGCAACCATAAAAATTAGTCTTGTAGCACCTTAAGGAATTCACGTATTTATTGTGGTTTATGTTTTATGAAATAAAGTCTTCTTGTCTTAAATACATTTATGCTACAATAGATTTTCATCTTGAAAACATAAGACTCTTTTTATAAAAGGAACCTTATTCCATGATCAATAACTATATTTTCAACAATTTTTGCTACAAGGTAGATTTTGTCCATGTCAAAAGCATCACATTCAACATATCCATAAACAAATATTTAAAAGATAGAACAGAATCTTAAATTTGAATTTAAGTTAGGCTAAAATGCTAAACATATACATTTAGATGTAGACTTTTGCGAAAGCAGTGCAACTTACTTCTAAATACATTTTAAGTAGTAGAGTTTTAATTTGATAGACAAATGTTCCCATTTTGCAAGGTTTAATGCATTAAACATAGTCCCCCCCCTCCCAGAATATCCTCTATCCCTTTTCTCCTTATCCACATTTATTTTCTGGCACCATGACGACTCAACGAGCTTCTCACCTTCCTGCGCCAGCATGGATATAAAAGTACATATGAATTCATCATAATTGTGAGTTCTCCTCTGGTCATCAATCTAAGAGTAAAAAAAAGTAGAAGATGAGCATCTGTTCAGCAACTCCTGTGTTGAAGCATGTGAAAACAAGGGTTTGCGCTAATTAACTCTCCTTTGGTTGGCTGGAAAGCAAATTGAGCTTGCACTGCACCAAAAGACACCCAAGTTGAGCTTGGGCAATAACAGCCAGCAGCACATCAGTGGGCCAGCTAAACAGAGAAGATGGCACAGCACCATGTTATCATATTTTTAGAAGATGCATTAGATGTAAGAGACAAGAGGATTTGGGGCTTCAAGCAAGAAATAACTATCCAAATGCTATTAACCAGATTTTACAAGGCACAGAAAGAGCTAGGATCATTGCAAAAGGAGTGGACTCTTTGTGAAAGTATGCTGTCCATTAACTTTGCTAGCTGGAGGCTTACTCCTAGTGTACCTTCATACCAGAAAGTAGAGTTATAGTAAAGGAAATCTACCCCAGGATTCCCACCACTGCAATAACTTATTAGCATACCTTGAATTTCTTCCTTTTCTCTACTTCCTCCTTTAAGTAAGCTTCATAATTGGCGATCTCAGCTTCTACACACTTTAGCAGTGCCAACAGCTCCTGCCAGAGCCAAACAGGGACAGGATGAGTCTTGCAGTGCACCACAGTAGGGCAGTCAAAGGACAAGCAACAGCCACCAGGGGGACATTTTTCGTATCAGCTTGAAGCATTGGGAACAACTCACGAGAAGCTTCAGCATAAACCTAGCCCATCTTGTAACTAATCTGGGGAAAAGGCCTACGCAGTCCAGAAGGACCACTGTGCTGGCAGGTGATGCCAGAGGGGGAAATAGTGCTAAGAAAGTGGGGTGAAACACAACAGTTCATTAGATGAACTCAGAAAACCAGAAACAAAGATAATTTTTAAAATGCACAAATGTTAGACTATCTGAAGCATAATTCAGCTGCTTTCACCTAAATTTTTCTGGCACTTTTTTCTCCATCTGTACATAATAACAATGCAGAGAGGGTGCAATCCCCTGTACACAGAGAGCTATTTATCAAAGATAGATTGATATTTGGTGGGAATTCTATACTACTACGCCTCCCATCCAAGGGCAGGTCTTCTATTAAGCATTCTAGCGCTAGGTACTCCAGTAAGACTCAGCCTGTTTCTTCAGATTGGGTATGAGCACAAAGCTCCCACCAGTTTCTGCTTTTGAGCAACCCAGGTGCTTACTTTAGGCGAATACTTTTCCCCACCAGGAGGATCACTAGCCCGGGCTGTCCCAGCCTTCTCCTTGCTTTCATCTGGCTCGTTTGAGTCTCTTTCTTCCAGTTTTACAACAGAAGAAACCTCTTCACTTGCTTTGCTAGAAGGAGACGTGCTTTTCCCACCATCTGGTATTTGTGGAGAAAACAAACAGGAAAAGAGAGGGAGCTAAATGCCAGGTGTGTGTACAGAAGCATTATGTAATATTGTGTACATAAGGATATTTCTTTGCACCCAAGGACCACATGCATAAATCGAGATCAAATTCTTTAAAAAGATCAGTCCTATCCAGTGAAGGCAGAACTCCAGGCAGCTTTACCTAACGGAGGTTAGGCAAGAAACTCTACAGAGTACTGCATGATTGCCTTCAAATAAACAGTACAATACTGGGCACCTCAGCAAGAATTCCCTTATATACAATACAGTATATGCTTTTATCTCTATCGTTCCCACATTTGAAAATTCCATAATGCTGCCCTGAGTCACCCCATGACACAATGTGGAATTATCCACTTCTTTTTGCTCTGCTTGCCAAAGTTGAGGAAGCCACATTTTACAGGAGTGGAGAAGCTCTCTTGGTAAAGGGCAGACTGGACTCCACTGTTACCACACACAGGCATTGTGGGAATTAACCCATTTCTGTTCTCCAGAGTGAAGGTTACATTTTGATTAATCCTTTTCTGAGTCCAAACAGCACAGGGCATCAATACATAGGAAAACTATCCTCCATTAGCATGGTTAAAGCTGTACATTAGAACATACTGGAAGAGAGATGAAGCCTCAGAGAGCAAGGAATGTGAACCCAAGCTAAACTGCTCTTCAATCAATTCCCAGACCTTGCACTACCGTGCAGTAACTACCAGCCTCTCACCAGGTCCCCAAACTCTCACCAGAACAGTGAGGCTCCATGGGCCACGTGGCCACATTCCTTCCCCTGAAACCTACCTGCAATACTCAGGGAGCCAAAAACGCCATCCTCTGTGAGGTGCAACAAGCCAGTGCTAATGATAGGGCCCAAGTCCCTCACCGCCCTATTGTAGCGCATACAGTCCACGCGCAGCAGGCTGTCCTCCTCCCCAAAGAGCACCTTGGAGATGTGGGAAGTGACAGGGCTGGAGGGTCGCGTGGGATTGGCGGAGCGGATAGGGGAGCGGAGCGGGGAATTGAAGGCGCTCCCAATCTCGGAGGCAGTGTCCGTACTCTCGTTGCTAGGGGTAGGAGAGGGCTGGGAATGGGCAACCACCGCAACCGCAGCGCCTGCACTGCTGGTCTTGATAGACAAAGGGATGGAGAGGTCTTTCTGGGTCTCCTTCAGCTTCTCGGTGAGGACATTAATTGTGTTGGGCTGGAGCATAGAGAGCTGGCCGTCCGCGCTTCCCACAAGGTGCTCCTGCTTCACTGGGCCTTTCCGCTTGTAACTGTCCAAAAGCAGAGAACAAGAAAGAGCCACCTGAAAAGGCAGAAGGGCAATAAAGGCAGCAAACAACAGGTCTGGCGGAAGGAGTCGGCATAACCAGGAGCTTTCACTGCTCACATCAGGTATTCCACAGAATCATCAAAGCATTCAAATGAGCAACTTTATGCAAAGCAAGGAAGGCGAGAAGGAGCAGGCTTCTGCACGCTATGTCCCTCCTTGAGTTCCTAAGCCTCAGCCATGTGACAGGCTATATATTTCAAACAATACAACCGAATCGCTTATTAAACAACAACTCTTGTTTATAGCCTACTTTTCTCCTCAAGGAGGAGCCAGGTACTTTTATCAAAGTACTCTGAATTCTGAAAACAAATCCCAGAGGTTTTAGGGGAGTGATCTTTGACTCAGAAGCTAATCACCATCCCATCCTCTGGCAGGCGCAAGAAGAGAAGTGCACAGATATGCATTCAACCTTGTAGCTACAATGGTTACCACTGAGATACTCTAGAACCAAATTCAGGAGCTTTAAAAAAACAGGATGTCTTAAATAAGAATATCTTCCTATCTAATCTCAATTGTCTTTAAGGCCATCTTTGGGAGCTCTGCTCCAAATTCCTTTCATTTGAGAAATACGTCATCTACTGTATATTGTTTCATCGGTAGCTGTAACATATTACAAAATGATTTTCCTGCCAAAATCCCTGTTGTAGCTGTATTACAAAGGCCAAAAGCCTATACGGTTTGTGCAGTGTAAACCCTCAACTGGGTAACTCTTGTGTGTTGAAAAGCTCCCTCCTCCCTCCTGCATACAGAAAAGCAAGAAGAGGATGAATCAACACTGGGTTCCAGATGGCAAACCATTCTTACCTTATGGTAGGATTAGCACTGCACACTTCCTCTTCCTCATCTTCATCATAGTCATCTTCATCATCAGAGTATTGCTGATGATGTCGCACTGGGACCCTGCTCCGACCCACCCCAGCTGCAAGGTCCTCTTCCTCCTGAAATATATGTCATAGAACGGCCTTCAAAATATACCCAAGGGTTGTATCTGTGAGGACCCCATGCCCTTAAAACCCATCTCGGAACAGAGCTGTAGCAACTGCTGTGTCCCAAAGGAGTCCCTCTCTTTTATTTCAGCCCTGCCAAGAGTGTGCTCTCTGTAGCTTTCAAAACCAAGTATGCCTATGAGTTACATACATACCAGTTTGTTTAAATGGGGTAACTGCTAAAAGCAGAGGACTTTTGCCACACTCTCCTAAAGCAGGTGCGGGCAACATGTGATCCCCAGGGACCCAAGGGCCACCTTCCAGAACCATCAACCATTTGGAAGCCTTTTGTTTAAAATGAAAGTGGGCTCAAAAATTCTCCTTGTGCCCTCTAATTGGTGTGAGAGCGAGCTGGCCATATTCCCTCTTTTTCTTTCAGTTAAAAAAAAGTATCTGTAAGAAAAAAATGAGGGTGAGATCACTGGAGCAGGTGCAGGTAAGGGCTCTGCATGTATGGCCCCCATAATTCCACACCTTGCCCATCCCATCCTAAAGTATCATCATCCAATTACAGGCTCATTATGACGTGCTGTCTAAGAGCAGAGATAGTGGTATACCTTGTGCCAAGTGAAAAGGAACTCTTTCCTCTGGAGATGTAGCAGCAGCCTGTCAGAGCTGGTAAAGTTAAAGGTTCCCCTTGACAATTTCTCCAGTCGTGTTCGACTCTAGGGGGTGGTGCTCATCCCCATTTCCACGCCATAGAGCCAGGGTTTGTCCGAAGACAATCTTCCGTGGTCACATGGCCAGTGCGACTTAGACACAGAATGCTGTTACTTTCCCACCGAGGTGGTCCCTATTAATCTACTTGCATTTGCATGCTTTCAAACCGCTAGGCTGGCGGGAGCTGGGACAAGTGATGGGCGCTCACTCCATCGCGTGCATTCGATCTTACAGCTTATAGACCTTACAGCACAAAGGCTTCTGCAGTTTAACCCGCAGCGCCACCACGTCCCTGGTGTGCTGTGCTTTCTCAGCTCTGTGTCAGAACTGAGAAAGCAAAATTCATCTTGCTGGTGCTATCTGTCAAATAGATAAAAGCCCAAACCCTGAGCACCTACCTGCATGGGGGACTTGGCATAGTTGTGGTTATCCAGGAAAGCTGGAAGCCTCTGCACAATGGGACTGGGGTTTGGCAGTGCTCCATTTACAGCACTCATGGGGGGTTTAATTCCCAGCTTTGACTTGCTTGTAGGGCTCTGAGTTGGGGCAGGATGATCCTGGCCTCCTGAATCCTCCACACTCTCTGCAGAACAGACATTAATTTCACATTTCTGGCTACTGTGGTAATTTTCCACTGACATACTCAACACTTACTCCTCCAAGAGACATTTGAGACTTTCACATTCCATGTACACTGCTTTCCAGAATGCTATTCCCCTACCCCAGGATCATTTAAGTGACACACAACTGCCTACATTTTGCAGCCTTAATGGAAGCAGAATTGCAAACCATGGATTTTGGAAGGAGGTAAAATTAAACTCCTATTCTCCACAAAACTTCTCCACAGACAAGAATGGCTTTCCTTGACTGAACAATATACAGTAAGGCCTCTGTGTCCACCATATACAACACACCATATACAACACTCAAGGAAGTGCAACAAAGGCCACAAGGCCCACCCCCTTGTACGAGATATATAGATAGGGCTGTGGACAACTGAAAGGACAGATATGGATCCGGGATCCTACTGTACTACCTGTTTTGAGCTTAAGGGAAACAAAGCTAGAGCGATATATTGTATATGCAGTATACAGAAAAATGCAAGAATTTAAGAAAGCAGGGGAGGGGACTAAAACAGATTAAAATAACCCATCCACTGTCTTAGATTACACTACACAAATGAAAAAGGTTTGGGTGCAAACAGGAATTGATTTCGATGTGGAAGAACTAAGTTTTGTTCAGCTCTGGTACTCAAAAACAAATTGCGAGACTCAGTCTCAGTATTATGTGTTTTGCTTCAATCTCTGAATTAAAGATCTCAGAATTATAGTAAAAATAAGAAAGCCATACCTGCCTGTGAGCTCTCCGGCACCAGCTGTACTCTACCCAGTTCCACTGTAGTAGAAGAGGTCTTGCTGTTGGTGGACTTGGATTCCTCAGCAGCCTGGGATTCTTGAGCTTTCTGGGTGTGGACCAACTCTGGTTGAGTCACTCTGATTAGCTTATGTGGGAAAAAGAAAATCAAAGCTAAACAATTGAAACAATGGAAACCCAGCACCTTCCATGAAGCCAGTTTAAATCAAGAAATGGTGAGAGTTTTTTGTGTGAGGAGAGATCCTCATCAAATATTAAGTAGCATAGCAGCACTATATCTTCCTGCTGTTAGTATGTTGCAGATTTTGTTCAAGAAATTATTTGAAAACAGTTTTTTGCCCCAAGTCAAGAGTTGAGGAGCCTGCCTATCTCCTTAACATATACCATATTTGCCGGCGTACAAGACAACTTTTTTGCCCTGGAAAACATGCCTCCAAGTAGGGGGGTTGTCTTATACGACAGGTGCACTTCTAGCAAACCCTCCCTCTCTCCCAGCGAAGTCACTTACCTGGTAGTAAAACTGAGTAGACCTAGCCCGCTTCTCCTTGGTAGCCTGGGAACAGCCTGACTCTAGCGCCGAACAGCTGACTGTCGGAAACCAGCAGAGAGGCGGCAGCCATTTTGAGATGACCACATCGCTGCTGCCTCTCAAAATGGCTGCCGCTTCTCCAAAATGGCGGCCACCTCTCTGCTGGTTCCCAACAGTCAGCTGTTCAGCGCCGATGCTGTCCTTCTTCCAGCAAACCCTCGCTCTCTCCCAGCGAAAGGAACCAAAAGCGGCAAAACGAACTTAACCCATGATGTAGCCAAAGCAGAATCACACATGCGGAAGAGGGGGTAGTCTTATACAGCAAGTATATAACAAACTCTACATTCTGAGTGGAAATGTTGGGGGGTCATCTTATATGCCCAGTCGCCTTATACGCCGCCAAATACGGTATTTGCTTCTAATAAGCACTTTTTAGGCTTTTCTAAAACTTTCTAAATCCAATTGAAATAACAATTTACAAAAACTAAACAAATTTTCTAAACAAGGAAAGTAAAAAATACAAAACATTACCAAGGCAAATAGCAACAAAAAAGTTACTTTGTGTTCTTCTTCCAATTTCTAAAATGCAAAAATATTTTTTGTTAAAAGGGGTGTTTACATCCTACAGTGCTCGCAGAACCTGATGTGAACGGAGAAAAGCAGAGATTCCTTCTAAAGCTAGATACAGCTAGGAGAAGAGATCTAGCCCACTAGGCTTATTCTTCCCATCCACCCCTTTCCTTACCTGCTGCAAAGCCTCTAATACAGTTTGTCGGTTCATTTTCAGGATCTGTAGCTTGGATTCATACTTCACCCTTCTGTCAGGCACCACTGCCATCAAGTTAAAGCGGATATCATGATATGGCTCCCTGCAGAAAGATAGTATCAAGTACTAAACAAACCATTCTTAAATATACTGACAGAATCCATACCTCTCTCCCCTTAATGCCAGCCACACATGACAGTTTCCATTACTGAGATAACAAGCATGCTGGCATACACCATTCTATGAATTTATGCACATGCAGCATGTCTTTTGCAACAGGGGCTAAGATTCTAGAGAAAAACTCTGTCTCTTAAGCGTACATCCAGTGCTGCCACATAATCCTACCCAATGCTCACTGATCTAGACATTTACCCTGCTGTGGCAAGTCCAATCCGCTCCATTATTACTCTTCTAGCTTTGTCTGTCCATTCCTCATCTTCTGCCCAAGGCCCTGAAAAGTAGAAAACTGTAAATTTAGAAAGGCAAGGAAAAATGGTTCTTTGTTACAGACTGATATGCTCATTGGGCTTCAGTGGCATGATCATCTCCTTGTGCAAGCACAAGTGCATACTTGTAAATGCAGTATGCTAAAGGTAAAGATACATCATAGGGCCCATTGTGTACATCCTAATTAGTTAACTTGAAATGCGCATGTGAATGATGATTAGACTGGACCATAGATCCTGTTTCCAAGTTAATCTATAGAAGATACGCAAACCAACCTTTAAAATGTTTATCCACAAAACAGCTTCTCCTCCAAAAATATATATCTTCGGGGGGGATGACACCCCAGAAAAACATTCATGTTTTAAAAAACAACTACCTATCACCACTGGGCTCCAGTATTTCATTCTATGCTCTACAATCATCCATATAAATCAAAATAATATGATTTCCTATCTCCATACAACTAAAGCAATACATCTGATATGAACACACTACCTTAAAACATGTATGATGATATTTTTCCACATACTGACCTCCCTCCCTCACACTGTTTAAGAAGTTCTTTAAGATATGGTGATTCTTCCATATTATCTAACATTTTCTAACTTTCCAATCAGCGTATTTGAGCCCTTTAAACAATAGTGATAAATACACCAAAACATTCCACAACAGCAGCAAGCAAGCAAACAACAGAAATAAACAGAGCTGTATACTACAATAAGCACCAAATATCAAAATCAAGAAGAAACAAGAGGACAGACTAGATTAAAATTCCTAGAAGCAGAGATGTATAACCTGGTGCCTTAGTTGAGAATTGTAGATTTCTGATACACAGATCAAGGACTGCTAGGTGAAGCACTACCAGAAAACATTAATTTTCTCCAATTCCCCTCCAATTTCAACAAGGAGAGAATTCCATGCTGATTAGGAGCAGCTCAGGGCTTCACGTCCTTCATGGATCTGTCTTAAGCAGTATCTCATCCCACCCATGTTGCAGAGCACACTGCGGACCTGGTTCGAAGTTGTGAGCAGGACTGTGCTGATCTGGGTGCAAAGAAATCTTCTGTAGTTTTATTACCATGGACACTTGCTGGCAGGGTCTAAACTCAGTGAAACTGGGAGTTGGGGCAGCAGTGTGTGTGTAAAGAACAGGAAAAAATGGTCTATCTAAAGGGCTTATGGTTCTGAATGGTTTCCTTGGTGAGTTTTTTGTCTCTGTAAATGAGGAAATGGCCATGGCTATGGCCATGACTCCTCCTGTGTGTCCCCTCCTACAGAGTGGAACAAAACCAGCCCCCCCTCTTTACTAGGGAGCTGTTCATGATGAAGCATAAGGGAACGAGATTAGACCAATGATGGCAGAAACCTCAGAAGCAATCTAAATAAACATGGGTTAAAGGTCCTTGAAAGGTCTATTCCATGGCAATGGGGAAAGAATCGTTTTTTCCCTTCATTGTATCTGTCCAGATTCACCCCATGGAGCTGTTCTGAGTGGCAGGATGCCTATTGCACACTTGCCCACAAGAACAAAATACAGACCACTCAACAGTCTGATGTGAAAAAATTGGGTAAACCTTTTGCAATTAAGGTTGCTTCGATCTGCTCTGATTTGGGTGATAAAATTGATCAAGGTCCTTTAGATGTTACTTCAGCCCCTTTTTATGCCACAATAGTATGTTTTGGTTTGTCCCACTGAGGATGTGGATAGGAACCTTGTAAGGGTAGGAACCAGAACGTGTGTGCCACATGCTTGTCTTTCATGGATCATAAAAACAGTCAGTGGGAAACTGGCTAAGTGGGTAGACAACTGCCAGGCAATCTCCAATACTCCATTCTTGGACAAGCCTCTGAAGCATGTGGTAGGTTTTTGGACATTAAAGACTTCCATCTCCCACCCCAGTTCCAGGCTCCCAAAGGCTTCCTTCAGGCAAAAAGGATTGAGAGAGAGCCCCGGAATGACAGATCCTGAAGCTGAGGCTCCAGTACTTTGGCCATCTCATGTATAGAGAAGACTCCCTGGAAAAGACCCTGATGTTGGGAAAGTGTGAAGACAAGTGGATAAGGGGATGACAGAGGACAAGATGGTTGGACAGTGTCACCAAAGCTACCAACATTAATCTGCCCAAACTCTGGCAGGCAGTGGAAGACAGGAGGGCCTGGCGTGCTCTGGTCCATGGAATCACGAAGAGTCGGACACGACTTAATGACTAAACAACAACATATATACTAAATCATTTTTTAGTTGCTCCCTATACCAGAAGGAAAGCAGCACAGAAACAGAATAAATAAAGAATAAATAAATTCATAGAAGAGCTTCACCAGGTACTCTCAAGGGACAAAGAGAAATGAAAAGAACTAAGCCCAAATAATTCATAGCTTACCGGGCATTGTGTTAAGACACTTTAAGAAATATTGTATTATTAAATCCAAGAAGCATTCTTACATTACTATCTCAAATGGATAATCACATAATCACAAGCACATCCTATATTTCTCTGTGTCTTTAAATTCACGTTATCACCTTATGTGCCATTACCACCTGAACTTCCAATTAATCAAATGGACTGATTCTTTTAGATGTGTTCCAGACAGTAACGTAAACGTATTTTGTATTACTAGGAAGATACCATATACAATGTAATTACAGGATGATTTTTTTGACCTGTAGAAATATTCTATAATGTTAATGAGTGAACCACTGCTTTTTCCAAAGAACTACAAAACAACTTTTTCAATGTTCCAAACAAGGTAAAGCAGGAGGGGTGGGGTCTCTTACCATGGTCAATGGGATAAACCTTCAGCCCATCCAGTTCAAAGAGCCGTCCCTTAATGGGGACATAGCTAACAAAGTGAAATGCTTCCATGGTCCGGACAGCACTGATCCCATTCTGTTTTTCTGGCAAATGCCGCGGCTCAGGCCTGTCCAAGGACAAGATATCCAAGATGTCAGAACATACACGTGACCAACTTTGCAGCAAACAATAGGCGGCTGACATCCAACCTACCTAGCATGGCTGTTGTGTGCCTTGGCCAATTCTGGAGCATTTCCAATGGCATAACCTTTGCTCTGCAGGTGGAAGGGAGAGAAACAAAGCAAGGACATGTTGTCGGAACCACATTTAGCTTCCGTTGCACTACAGCTTTCCCTCATCTATAAGAGATGCTCTGTCCCAAATAATAATAACTGTTTCCCTCCTACAGCAAATCAACCAACCAACATGTTTCTTTGAATTCAGGGTGGTTTAGCTGGAAAGCCACAACAGCTAACAAAGAATGATTGCTCTCAGAAGCAAGAAAAGCTCCCTTTATAAGAATGTTTATAATGCTTTGTTGCATGATCTGACCCGACACACACAGAAAATTGGGACCTGTGGTGCAGTGCTTAATTTTTTCTCCCTCACAAGTGATACTGACAAACAGATATGCATAGCTATGCTTCCTTGAGGTAACAAAAAGACAACAATAAATTAAGGTAAAGAAGGAATCATCTCAGCTTGTCCCAGCCTCCATGCACGCTGCTACATGTTACCTCTGGACTAAAGCCTTTAGTGAACTCCTTCATTCGGCTTAGAGTAGGCCCCAGTTCAACACTGCTGCAGTTTAGGAGGACGCTCAACAATGCATGTGTGGCACAAGAATTGGGGATCAGCTACAATAAAAATAAATGTAAGGGATAGTTAATGAAGTTATACCTTATGGAACTGATATTAAAAACTGGTTTCAAGGCTAGAGATCACATTTGTTCATATTTAGCATTACCTCCACCCAGCCAGAGATATACTTTTTTTCTTCAGTCAGTGCCTTACCTGATGAGCAAAAAACATGTTATTGACAATGTCCTCATCAATTACCGATGTCTCATCTACCAGAGTAGAAACCTTCCGTCGAGATCTGCGCTCTTCAATCCATTTGAAAAGGAAGATGAACCCATAGACTGGCCTGTTTTGAAAGAACAGGAACAGCAGAATGAATACTGTGGCTTCATTACTTTTGAAGTAATCTTGACAATTCCTCTGAACTATCACCAAATCGCAAAACTTTTGAAACAGAGTCACAGCAGTTCGCATAGGCTCAGGGAGAAATCTGAATGAGGCTACCTAGAATGTCCTCTAAAAACTCCTTCATAGAAACCACCAAAATTTAAATACCAAAATAGAAATCTACCATTATGTGGATTATTATTTTGCTTTTATCGGAAACATTCATAATAAAAAGTTGTCATAATGACTGTCTTTACTAACAGGATTTTTCTACCTGTTAACTAAATTGCACCATTGGCACTGTCCATCATATCCGGTCCATTACGAAGATTCCTGGCACTTTTTTGGACAGAAATGTAACAATAACTCTATTATTCACAAATGTCATGGTGCTTCCCAACTTTAGAAAGATATTTTCCCCCTCTAATTAATAAAATGTCTAGTAACTTACCCTTGGCATTTGCTCTGTAGATCATAAATTTCTTCCACCTGTACTCCCTTAACACCTACAAGATACAGTACAGTTAGCACAGGGGATAAGTAGGCCCAGGCAAATTCATCCATCACTCTATTATTATACTCACCAAAATCCTCTACTAAGAGTGTAAAGAGCCCTGAAAAAATAACAAGAGAAAGAATTACTTGCTGAGTAAATAAAAGAACTTCTGTAATCAATTAATGGAAGTAACCCTTATAGCAGTGGTCCCCTACCTTGGGCCTTCAGATGTTTTTGGACTGCAACTCCCAGAAGCCTTCACCACCACCTCTGCTGGCCAGGATTTCTGGGAGTTGAAGTCCAAGAACATCTGGAGGCCCAAGGTTAGGGACCCCTGCCTTATAGGTTTCAAGGCCAACAGCAAGAAAATGTAGGTGGGTTGGGCTAAAACATTTCAAGGAGCAGCACATTTCTTCCCTTTTTATTGCTTCTCAGATACTGGCTGTAGAGAACCACAGGCCTGTCTAGGCACACAGTGGCCCACCAGTTGCCTCCTGCCAGCGGTTCCCAACCTTGGGTCCCCCCCACAACTCCTGGCCAGCACAGCTGGTGGTTAAGGCTTCTGGGAGTTGCAGTCCAGGAACATCTGGAAGCCCAAGGTAGGGGACCCCTGGCAGGGAGCAGCAGGAGGGCATGCAGGCAAGGGTGCTCCCAGCAACCGGTTCCCCCCGCAGGCATCGTGCCTCTGGGGCGTCCTGATCAGGGGCCCTCGGGCCACCCCTCGGGCTCAGCCGGGCCCCTCTTTGAGGCCTCCCTGCCATGACAACCCCCTTCTCCCGGCCACCCCATGAAACCTCCTGCTGCTGCTCCTCCGCCCGCTCGCTCACCGGGGTCGCTCTCCAGCTCCAGCCAGCCCTTATTCATCTTCCTCCCGGGTCAGGTCTCAGCGCCATGACCGGCCCCAGGCCCCCCTTCCAAGCAGCCGTGAGGAGAGCCCCGCCGCCCTCGCCCTCCTCCTCCTCCTCCTCCGCCAACCACCGCCACCAACTACTACAACAACAGGAGCCCTCGCGTTCACGGGCCCGCCCTCCCGCGCCACGTCATATCAGCGCGCCTCTCCCTGGGTCGCGAAGGAGGGAGCGTCGGGCGTTGACGCAGGCGCACAGGGCGGTAAGGAAAGCAGGACGAGAGAAGTCGCCTCTGCGCCAGAAAAGTCCCGGACCGGAAGGATCGTTTCCTCCGTCTACGGATCGCCGGCGGGGACTCTGGTGGTCTTGCTTGGAAAATTTCGCCGTGGAGAAAGCCGCGGAAACAGAAGGGAAGAACTGTTGGCGACAGTTCATTAGAGTTAATGCTCTCCGTCCTAAGCTCTGTTCTTTATTCAGTTTATTACCGGGGGTGGGAGTGTGAGGGGGGCGTTGCTTGGAAGTAAAATTTGGCTTTAAAAGGAAGGGTATTTCAACAGCCTAGAGTGGTCGAAATGACCAGATAGGCGGGGCATTAATTAATTAATTAATTAATTAATTAATTAATTAATTGTGAATGTGCCAGACTTATAAAATGGTATTTTTAAAGGCAGTGGGAGGTTTGTGAATATTGCTTTTTTTAAAAAATGAAGCAAGTGTCACATTTTTGTTTCAGATCAGCCTTGATTCTGCCCGCTTGCACTTGAAGTTTTCAGTAGTTAAATCACACAATGTTGATTATTATGATTAATTTTTGTACAAGATATTTGTTTAGGTGCCAGGCGAATTTGACAATATTAACTAGCAGTCTAAAGCAAATAATAATCCGTGTAAGTATAACCAGCGTGATGTAGCAGAGTAGGACTCAAAAAGCCAGGTCTTTTTGGTGGTTACAGTACCCAACCCAGTGATTCACCTGGCACCTCTTTGGCACTAACTAAAAAGAATTGTTGGCCTTACAGGTCTTTAGGCCTATTTTTATTATGCTGTTAATCCCCTCTTCTGTTCACCATCAGATGAGAGGCTGTTTTTCGTTTTTCTTGTGAATTCATATTTTTATCTTGGATTTAAGATTGTATATACTTTCTAATTTTACTGTGGCCTATTTTGAGAACTTACATTGCCTAAATAAAAATAAAGCAGATCATTCTAGAGTGGTCTTAATCAACTAGATAGGCGGGATATAAATAAATAAATAAATTCTGGGTAAATTTGTTTTAGAAAATTAAAAACTGCAAAAATTAATACCCTAAAGGTACATTTTCCAAGTAGATTTAGAGTATTTTTAATAATGAGGTACTTATTTTTATTATTAATTTTAAAAATTAATAATAAAGACATATATTCTGCTCCAAACATGTAAAACATTGTTGATTAAACAGAAAACAAATAATGACTATGAGGTTATTTTTACAAGTAGAATTTCAACTAAGAGAGTAAGATTCTAGGGGCTGGGTGACCACACACTGGGCCTGAGGTTGAGAGAAGGGCCTCCTGAAAAATCTTAAAAACCAGATCGAGTTGGGTGTCATCAGCATGCTGGTGGTACCAGTCTGGACAGCCTCTTTCAGGTTTTCATGTATGTGTGAAATAGTATGGGAATCATGGAACTCTGAGACACTCCACAGGCTAGTGGTCAAGGTGCTGGAGTAGGAGTCCCCCAGCACCACTACCGTTCACAAAGTGACACCACACAAGGGAAAATCCCAGAAGCGGACTCCTTTTTTCATCAGTTCAGCACTTTTCACCCAAAGGCAAAGCAATTGTCAGCACGTATTTTCAACAAGTGTGGATGGCAGTGAGCAGAAGAGGGTATCCATCTTGACTGCTGCCATTGGTGTTGTTAACATTCAGGCTGCTCTTTGTTATGTAAACCTTAGCATCCTTTTTCCTGCTGGCAACATGGGCATGACATTGGGGCATTTCCTGGCTTTTTGAATTATGAATATAGAAGCACAATATCCCACATTCATAAGCCTTAGATCTTTTGAAGAATTGAAGTATTTTTGCTGCATCTGGCACAGACCACTAGGTGGACCGTGAGATCAGTCTCAAGTTGCATGCAGGATATATCATTCATTTAAAAATAACTTTCTGCAATGCAGGAACTTCATTGAGCTGTACATATACAAATAAATAAATAAAATAAATAAATATAGGTTGTACTGCCATCACTGCCTAAGGATGCAGTCCCTTTATCCACTATCCTAGGAACAAGCTCCTTTAAACATAGCGGCTGAAATCCAATAGTAAGTTTCAACCAGAGTAGGCCCATCAAATCAATGGAACTTAACTGGAAAGTTTGCTCCTCCAGTTTACCACTGATCGATTCAATGGGCCTAATGTAGTGACTACTACCAATGGGACTTAGTTCTGAGTAGATACACATGAGGTTTCAATGTAGCCCAAAAAACGCACAACAACTATTAACTGTATACACATTTGATCAGAAACAAAAGAGGGGAAATGAGGACATTAAGTCACCATGATTACCGTATATATGTTAGCATGGGAAAGGTTTGCCCTGTCTGCTCCTCATCCTGATTTTAAGGTCTGAAAGCGGTCAGCAAGTAACCATCCACAAACGTTTTGCTTTGTCAAGCCTCTTGCACTGTTGGAAAAGGGAGGGCTTGCTTTTCTCATGCGGGACAATGCACCTCAAAACAGGATGTGTGCTCTGTTTTTTCATAGCTCTGGCCTGTCTACTCTCTACTACATCACAGTACATAACATTGCTCAAGGTGAAAATCACCCTGGCTTGCTCTTCTAGTTGTTGTTTATTCGTTTAGTCGTGTCCGACTCTTCGTGACCCCATGGGCCCTCTTGTCTTCGACTACCTCCCTGAGTTGGGTCAAATTCATGTTGGTAGCTTCAATGACACTGTCCAACCATCTCGTCCTCTGTCGTCCCCTTCTGTTGCCTTCACACTTTCCCAACATCATCTTTTCCAGAGAGTCTTCTCATGAGATGGCCAAAGTATTGGAACCTCAGCTTCAGGATCTGTCCTTCCAGTGAGCACTCAGGGTTGATTTCCTTCAAAATGGATAGTTTTGTTCTCCTTGCAGTCCAGGGGACTCTCAAGTGCCTCCTCCAACACCACAAATCAAAATCATCAATACTTCGGTGGTCAGACTTCTTTATGGTCCAGCTCTCACTTCCATACATCACTACTGGAAAAACCATAGCTTTGACTATGTGGACTTTTGTTGGCAGGGTGATGTCTCTGTTTTTTAAGATGCTGTCGAGGTTTGTCATCACTTTCCTCCCAAGAAGCAGGCGTCTTTTAATTTTGGGGCTGCTGTCACCATCTGCAGTGATCACGGAGCCCAAGAA